GAGCATGTACCCAATAGGCAATATTTCAACACATGCCACTGTTTCCTCCACCATCTAGTAGCCTCCAGTGTCTATTATTCCTGTCTTCGTGTTCGTGTGTACTAAGTGTTTAGCTCCCATTTATAAGTAAGAACATGTGGTATTTGGTCTTCTGTTCCTGTGTTAATTGGCTTAGGATGATGACCTCTAGCTGCATCTATGTTGCTGTAGAAGACATGATTTTATTCTTTTTATGGCTGTGTAGTATTCCATGGTGTATATGAACCACATTTTCTTTATCCAGTCCACCACTGATGGACATCTAGGTTGATTCCATTATCTTTGCTATTGTAATAGTGCTGCAATGAACAGATGAGTGCATATGCCTCTTCTGCAGAATGATTTTTTTTCCTTTGGGTATATATCCAGTTATGGGATTGCTGGGTTGAACTGTAGTTCCAGTTCAGTTATTTTCTAAAATTTCCCTGTTGTAGCCAGCCTTCAAGATGACCCTCAATAATTCTCAATTACTGGTTCACGGCTTTAAGCAGTCCCCCATCACATTGAATAGGTTTGAGTGACCCATGTTTACAATAAGATGTGAAAATGCTGGTGTGTGACTTCTACAGGGAGGCCATACAACACATTTTATCTTCTACCTTGCTCACTCTTGGATCATTCAACCTGGAGGAAGCCAGCTTCAATGCTGTGACGACGATCAAGCAGCTTAATGGAGAGGTCTATGTGGTGGGGTCCATGTATACTGGCCTCCTTCCAGAAACACTCATTTGCTAGTCATGTGGATGAGCCATCCTAGAAATAAATCTTGCAGCCCCATTTAAGCTGCAAGCATAGGAATAGATTGTAACACAAATATATTTTATAAAATTTCTCAAATATTTTGGTAATATAGTATTTTGGCATTTTATAATGATATATTTATTATATAAATATAAAGTATATAATATGTAAATATATAATGACATATAATATATTTATATCCTAAAATATATAATACAAATTACACAGAGCACTCAAAATTTAAAAATCTGTTTTGTGTGTTTACAGTCACGGCTCTTGTAAGGCAGGTCAAGGCAGTTGAACTTGGCCCTGTGGATGATGGAGAGCCAGTAGAGAGTTGTATGTAGTTGAGTTAAATGATAACGTTTGTTTTATAGGAAGGTAGCTGAAAGCAGTGTGGATAATGGGTAGGAGAAGAGTCACTAGAGTGAGAAATATCAGCTAGAAGGTGATTATTCTAATTCTAGAGAAAGATAAAGGCATTAACTTTAAGAAGTCACAATGACAGTGACCATGATAAAAAGAGTAGATTGGTAAAACAGGTCAGAGATTGAAAAATACACATGTATTCCATAGTTATTGAATGTATGAAACAAGGTGAGAGAGTGAGAAAAAAGTATGATTTGGGCCTCTATCCTGGGGAGACAGAATAAAATAATAGTTTTTCATTTATATACCGCATCACAGTTTATGAGCCCTTTCACATACACTGCATTTCATTGTTTCAGCAATCTTCTGATGAATTAATATGTATTAAATTAAAAATACAGTTGATAGTAATCTTGCAAATGTTCTCACCACTGCTAAATAACGTTTTGTAAGATGCTGTGTGTTCTTTTCCCAGTCTTTCTTTTTTTTGAGACTGAGTCTCTCTGTGTCACTTAGGCTGGAGTGCAATAGCGCCATCTTGGCTTATTGCAAGCTCTGCCTCCTGGGTTCAAGCAATTCTCCTTCCTCAGCGTCCCAATAACTGGGATTACAGGAGCATGCCGCCATACCTGACTAATTTTTGTATTTTTAGTAGAGACGGGATTTCACCATGTTGGCCAGGCTGGTCTTGAATTCCTGACCTCAGATGATTCACCCATCTCAGCTTCCCAAAGCACTGGGATTACAGGCGTGAGCCCCCAGACCCCCCTTTTTTCATATAAAATAGAGGTTGACTTACGTTCACCACTTCAAAGACATTCGTGCATACCTCTATTGTCTTCAGTTCTCTCCATGTTACTAGATAGATTGACTTTTCCAATAGCTGATTCAGTGGGCATGTGTGTAGTAGATTGTGTCTCTGTGTCTCTAAAAACATAGTGATTTAGATAGTACTTCTCAAGTCTTAATGTGCATATAAATCATCTGAGGATCACTGATTCAGTGAGTCTTGGCTGGACCTGAAATTCTGCATTTCTAACAAGCTTCCAGGTGATCTCAAGGGTACTAGTCCACAGAACATATTTCAATTAGAAAAGAATTAAAGTCAAATGCATATGTGGCACATACACACATACATGCACATACACACACACGCACATAAACACACACACACACACTCACATACACACACCAAAGTAGCTTTGCTTAAGCAGGTGTACCATTCTGGAATGCCTGCATCTGATTTCCATTTTAAAATAACAACCATTTTCTCACAGGTTTCAAGATGCTGCCAAATGTATATGCATTTCTCCTCAGTAATACAACTACATTCCATTTCTGTCTCTGTTGGCAAGCAGTTCCTAAAGGTTTCAAAACATGTCAATGGTCTTTTTCAAGAAGAGTCTTCATAAAAAAACACCTCATTGTTAGTTGTTCATTAATAGTTCTCTTACTGACAACTTGGATGTATGCCTCTTAATTTTGCAAGTATTTTAAAATTAAAATTACTTCCAAAGCATTTCAAATACTTCTGGCAATAAATGTCTGCTTGGAAGCAGAATTCTTAACTTTCCTCCCACAGGTCTTTTCTTTTATGATTCCATAGCCTTGTGGGTTTCCTTAATAGTCCGAAATTCCACAGTATAATCCATGTGTGCTGAAAGACATCTGAAATCATTGACATGCCTCAGGGTCTCCGGATTAAGCAACTATCAGCTCTGCCCTAATGTAACTGGACTCAGAGGTGATCTCCTGTTTAGCTATGTCTCAGAAATTCCTTCTCCTCCTCCTCCATCCTGCCACTTCCTGCACTTAGAGGAAATCCATTTTTGGTTTAGACAAGTTTCTCAAGCATCACATTTTTATCCCTATGGAAGTCTTTCAAGTCAAACCCCAAGAGGTGGACAATACCTCTTTGTGTATATGACAAAGAGTGTAGTCTTAAATATAAGTTTTGATTCTTATGAGGTTCAAAGCAAGAACTCAGTCACCCTGGAGAATGAAAGGCTCATGACTACTCTTAAGGCATTAAAAACCTTTAGTTCCTCAGATAGCTGGGAAGCTATATGAGAGATGTAGAGAGTAAAGGCAGAAATGTATGCTGCCACTAATTTCTCAAAAAGTCCAGGTATCTTAGAGCTGGATGGCCTACAGAGAGTTTCTCATCTAATCTCTGATCTGATTCAGGAATCCTTAATATAGCATCTTTGAGATATGTTTAAGGTGCCCTGAATACTTTCTGAAGTGGTGATACCCTGGTTGGACAGCTCCACTTGTTAAAAATCTGCAGCTGTGAACAACCCTGTCAATTTCCTCTAGTTGCTCCAATGTTTCATAATATCCCTGCTCACCTTCTGAGTTTATGTTATCTGTTTGTGCCTTTTCAATTTTAGTGTTAATTCCTTGTTTACAGCTCTCAATATTTCAGCTAGAGCTCTCTTAAAATAATTTCACTTTAGTTAGGAGTTTAATAGTCATCAAAATATGTCAAAAACTGACCTTTGGTATATATTATTGTTAACTCTGTGTCTTATCACTGTAGTTTGAATTTTAGTGACACTTCTGGCACATCTCACTACCCTCTTAAGTAACTTGATGACGTCTTTCTCAGCACAGAACATGCATCTTTTCTCTCCCATTTTTAGGTGCACCAATGAAGAGTTAAACAGTATGCATTTGGCCACACATACTGCTTGGGACCCACCTGGGAATATATCCTAGGAAACTTGGCTCCCTGTCCAGTGTGCCACATGACCATCATTTCTGATGACTGTAACTTCACATAGTATTTCTTCTGCTGAAACATGTGGGAGACAATCACATTAGCAAGCTGGAAAAAATCAGTGTATGTTAAGTAAATTTCTAGACTGAAGAGTGTGTTTTCCAGGATTCCTATTGCTACTGATTGTAAGCGGTCCACATTTTGTTAATGAGATCTTGATACATTTTGGGGAGAATCCTTTCAATACAGAGCACCAATATTCACATTCTTCTTCTTGCTTTGCCTGACATGGATTTTGCCTCTATGACATCCTCCTAAAAATTGTTGGCAGCTGGTGCTGCTCTTAAAATTCTTCATGGCCTCTGTGTTGTGCCCTCTAATATGTTTCCTGAGAGGCTGAGCTATTCTCTGCTTACAATTTCAACTATATGCGTCTAAACCTGAAACAGATGTTATCTTGGCTGCTGTCATTTACCATGAGCTTCTCTATTCATATTTTATACAAGGCAGGTAAAAAGCAGGTAATTTCTGACCTCACTCTGTAGAAAAAGAAAAAAGGGAGAGAAGGCAAAATGAGAGAGGGAAGAATAAATATATAAAGTACAGGAATGTAGCCACATGGAAGCAGAGAGCACAGCCACTTGAGCATCTATTATGCTAATATCATATGCTATAGTTTGGTTACTACTGATTTGCCTGGCATCCCTCTTGAATCATATTTGTGGCCACCCAGATTAACTATGTTAGCTGATCTCTTGATTTAATATCAGCTTGTTCTTTTTAGCTCCCATGTCATTTACCGTCTTTAAAAAATGTACTGCTTGTTACTCAACCGTCTGTGTTTTCATGAACCCACAATCTTTTTTTCTTCTTTGTTTCTTCTTTTTGTATGGGAACCGGGAACTAGAAAGCATAAAATGAGAGAAATTACTCACAGAAAAGGTGGAAGCCCAGAGAAAAAGGGGTTTGTCTTTTATGGCTTGCACTTTGTTAGCTGTGGGTGTGACTCAATTTCCTTACCACCCACATAAAAAAGTTGCCACCAATCACTGTTTTGTCTACCCCAAATCCCTCCCCTTTGATTTTGGCTAAGAGAGACCCTTAGAAAGACTGCCCTTTCTGGACGTTGCAAACTGTGACATATAAAAGCTGTTAGCTGCTCCTGAAGCCAGCAGCATTCAAACCTTGCAGAGCTTTGCTCTCAGAGAGCTTGTAATAAGACACACTCCTCTTACAAGAGTTCATGCTACAACATAGCAAAGAACTTTAAATTTTTGGAAGAACAATATATTCATTTTGGCATTGTGCAGAGAGGTAAGCCATTTAGTTCAACAAGTTTATATTGCATGCATTGATTTTAAAGTAGCTCACTTTTTTTTAAAAGAAATGAGATTGGATTACTGTAAATTTTGTATGTGTTCTATCACTTGGTGTGTCTATATGTCTGGCAGACATTATCAGCACATTCTCTGTTGTTACCTGTGATTCATTTTTCTTCACTCTCAAGGTGAATTTCAATTCCTGAAAATTTCCCACTGAAAACAAATACGCAGTAATGCATTTTGTGGTTCAGACATTTGGGGTAAATGGTTCACATTCATTTCAGCGTTAGTGGTCATGCTGTTTATTTTTCTCTGCTGTACAAAGTTCCTCTTAGGGGTCTGCCTCATGACACTAAACAAAATAAAATAGATTCTACTGTAGGTTATCTCCTAGGCTTGAGTTCAACATTTGTTTGAATTTTTGGAGAAAGTCAAATCAAGCAATGCTCCCAAATGATGACTTTGTAAATTCATACCTTCTGGCCCTATTTTTTTTCAAAGACCCTAACTCTACCTTTCTGCTTTAAAGCAAAGTGAACTCCGCGGCCTCTTCTCCACCCCTCAAAATGATAGCAGTCTCCGCCGTCAGCAGTGCACTCCTGTTCTCTCTTCTCTGTGAAGCAAGTACCGCCGTCCTACTCAATTCCACTGACTCATCCCCGCCAACCAATAATTTCACTGATATTGAAGCAGCTCTGAAAGCACAACTGGATTCGGCGGATATCCCCAAAGCCAGGCGGAAGCGCTACATTTCGCAGAATGACATGATCGCCATTCTTGATTATCATAATCAAGTTCGGGGCAAAGTGTTCCCACCGGCAGCAAATATGGAATATATGGTAAGAAGAAGAATTCTCTCTCTTTTTTTTTTTTTTTTTTTTTTGTGTTCTGAATGAGAAAGCTTTCAATTGTACATTAGCAGAAACTCAAATGACCACGAGTATTTATACATCAGGGTATATGGACTTTTTACATATCTTAACATAAGATTTTTATGTGCCTAATAATGTTTAGTACTGTTGCATCATAGAATCAGAGAGAGAGAGAGACAGAGACAGAGACAGAGACAGACAGACAGAATCTACATAGACTTCCTTCTGTGGGTTCCATAGCTACTGGTGGATTGTATCTTATATAAGAATCATAGATAAAGAGTGGGGTATGTTGACTGATCACATTTGAAAAGTCCACTTAAAAAATGCCACATGAACATTTTCTGTGCTTTATCTAATAGTCACATTTATCAGCTATGACATTTTTTTTGTGAAAATACTTTTTAAAATTATAGGTTTCATATGCCTGATTTATTCTCTGGGTAGGTATCTTTTCCCTTTCCTGGATAAAGCTTTTCTGATGCTAATCTATTTGTATTCTAAGAGAACATGCTGACTTTTTCTCCTTGTGATTTAATGCTTTGCCATCCAGATAACAGTGAAGCCAGTGCATTTGCACACTGTTCCAACTTGCTGTGAACACATTCTTTGCTCTCTCTTAAAAATAGACAATGTTTAAATCATTTTACTTAGGAAGTAAAAAGAGTTAGTATTGAAAGGAAAAGTTCTTGTTAGAGTTTATATTTGGTTTTGAATTTATGCAAGGTTATGATTTAAAGTCCAGCATCTTACAAGAGCATAGTTTGGAGCCTGTTTAAGGCAATGAAGACCATCAATATGGTTTTTCCAAATTGGGCTGAGGGGAGGTGGTACCAGTAACAGTTTTACATGTGCTGAACTAAAATTTGGGATTTTTATCATATTCTAGATTCACTTATTTTATATAAATAAGTTTTATATTAAAAACCTTGGCTAGCTGCAGATGACAATGTCACAGGAAAGTTAGAGACTTGCTAAATGATGTAAGAGAGTCGTGTTCAAAGAAGTACAATTTAGACTCTATGAAAATGCATATTTTAGAATTTATAAAGAAAGAGAAGATGTAATCAGTCCTGGTGTGTGAGGAGCAATATAGTCTCATGATTAAGAATGTGGGCTCTGTAGTCTAAATGCTAGGGTTTGAATCCTAGTCCTGAAGTATATGCTGAATGAACTAATGACCACATTGTTTCATTTTCATCATCTCTAACATGAAGATAAAGGTGGTATCTGCCACATAGGTTGTTATGATAAATGTATGAGTTGTGGAATAATCAGACCAGAGCCTATTGCTAACTAGATGTTCAACAAACATTAGTTTTGATGGGTTTCTTTGAACTTCTTGTGAAAGGTGCCCAGTGAAAACCCATTCAGGATCTAAAGGCAGAAACGGTTACTCATACAATAGAGATGTTTTTAGAAGGTGATGTAAATAGGTACAAAGTAGAGGACCAAATATATTTTTTAAATTACTAAAAATTATGAAAGAAATATGCCTAAGATGCCACACAAGCTCAGAAAGGCATAATATCCCAACTATGAGTTTAGAGAATTTGCAGCAATCACATGACTCTAAAGTGAGGACTAAGACTACTGAGGCAGCTTTGAAGGCGAGCTTGTCTGGTTTAAATCCTACCTGTGCTGCTTATTTTGTGGCCTTGCACAAGGTATTTAATGTGTCTAAGACCCAATTTATTTATCTATAAAATGAGAATAACAGTACATATAATAACCAATCAAATAATGCAATTCACTATTTTTATCATATTGAGGTCAGTGGGTTCACCATGAGGAAAGGCATAGATAGGTAAACACGGTAGATTTAGGATGAAAAAATCCACGTTTTCTTTCTAGCTTTATTTTCCCTCACTTATCAAGAATTAATTCATTCCACATGCATTTATTTAATTGCTTCCGTATGCCAAGGACTTGACTAATTGTTTCCACAGATGATCTCATTTGATAGCTCACATTCTCCGTGTGAGGTTAACATTGTGAGCTTCATTTTACAAGTGAAATCACTTAGGCCCAGAGATGCTAACGACCAGGCCAAGGTGGTAAGGATAATGAATGGTACTGCTGGAATTAGAATTTAGGTCTGTGTAATTTCAAAGCCCATGCTTCTCTTAGGGAGGATTTTCTCATTTGCTGCATTGAGGAAATGCCCCATAGCAGGACCCCTGAAGATGTCAAGGTATCTTTCTTTCTTTCCTTAAAATGCCTCCTGAAATCCTATAATTTCATACTCTGTTTGTTATTCCTTTCTTAATATTTTTTTCAAATATCAGAACCACTATATATGATTTATTTAGTAAGAACTAGATCCAATGCTGATTACATAGTAGATGCTTTGTAAACTCTCCTTAATTCAGTATAAGTAATGAGAACATTAAGTGCTAGAAAGTAAAATAGCGCTTGTTTCAAATACTCATGTAAATACAGTGCATATACTTGATTCACCCATATACTTGTTAATTTAATATTTATTAAATATTTAATATTTGTTGAGCATTGACTATATGTTAGGCTATATAATTGGGGATACATTCATGAGTAAAATAGACAGCTTTGGCTCCCTGGGTAGAGAATCAGACAATAAGCCAGGTAAATAAGTTACATAGGATGTTAGGTGAAAAAATTATGAAGAAAAATACAGAGGGTGTGGTGAGGGTTTGATTTTTAATAGATGGCCAAGGAAGAGAGCTCACTGAAAGGGCCTGGAGATGGGTGAGGGAGTGAGCCACTCTCATACATGAAGGAAGAGAGGTAGAGTGAGGAGTCTGGACAAAGGCCTGGAAGGGGAGAACATCCATCACTTCATTTAGAAAAATGTGCTCAACTGAGTGAAATCATAAATTAGAAGGACCCTTTGAGTAAATCGGCCACAGGAAAACATTCATCTAGATCCCTCATGAAGACCCAGAGGAACTTGGAGGGAAATACAGTATTGTAGGTGGCTTGGAGATTGAAGCAGGGACTATAAGTGACTTCAAATTCTCCTGAGTGAGTGATATCACCCAAGGGAACTTCACAGAAGATGGTCTTTGGCTCAGGGCTTCTAATTGCACCAGCCTGATTTGTAATTCCTTTCATCTACAACTCTCTGAGCCTTTTACCACTCCATTTTCTCTCCCTCTGAAGTCTCTTCCTTAGTTTATCTTTTTATTTACAATCCTACTCTTCAAGCTTTTGATGTCAGAATGCTTCTTATATCCATGACCACAAGTGATTTCTCCTACTTTTGAGCTAGTATAGGGCTTCATGCTACCATAGCTTGCTTTCATCAAGTGAGTTCCAGTTACTTGTGCATTTCTTGCAAACTTCCTAATGTTGAGCTTTCTGGGTGCTATGTCTATATTTACTCATTTTTGTATTCATTTCTGTTTTCTTGGGCAATTTCTTGTATATAGACAGTGATCGACCATCGTTTGTTGAATTTAGTTGAAATCCCTGTGAACTGTTATATGTTTATAATTAGCATCAATTTTGATATTATAAATGCTTTAATAGAGTTTTTTCTCATCATTTATAATAATATTTGATTCCACACCTGAATTAAAAAGTTTTTCTTAAATTCTAAAAATATTCCTTAAAATCAATTTTACTTTCCTTAAGTAATTGCTTATATTAAACAGTATACACTTGATTAAATAAAGCACAAGCAATTTGAACACCAGTTTTGACATTCATCTTATGGTTGTATAATATTTTCTTCAAATATATTGTCCATGATTTTAGTATAAAGAAAAAAACATTTTTTTGAAATATTTAATTTTCTAAAACAGTGTCTTTTCACAGAAATAATATAGATAGCACTTAAAATTTGCAGGTAAAACTTTCTACTCTTGGCTTCTGTTCTACAATTCGTTTATTGACTAATTTCCAGAGCTCCTTAGACACCAGCTGTTTTTTATTCTTCCTGAGGGCAGCTTAAACCATGACTCTAAACCACAAACCACACTAGTTTCTTAGAATAAGAATTATCTCCAAAAGAATAAAATTGCAAGACCCACACATAGAGTAAAATTTGTAGGATGTTCTCTGAATTCAAGTCAACTGAAGAAATTAATTTGAAAAACTTTGAGGTCCCTCCATGACATAAAGAGGTCCAAAGAAAACAAATATTTTTGTCTTTAAAGTCTAAACAATACAGTAAAAACAAAACAAACGAAAAAAACCACTAAGGATATAATTCCATATAATACACTGCTACATAAGATTGATGCAATAAAAGAGATACAGACAAATACCATGGAGGAGTTGAAGAAGGGAGCAATAATCTCTAGTTGGCAGACCATGAAAGGATCCTTGAAGGAGGGGCATGTGAGATAGATGCCCAGGAAGAGGCAGGGTTGGCTGTTACAGCAGGCAAAGCAATGCGTGAACAAACTATCCAGCAGAGGAAAACCATTACACTTGAGCTGTATGTTTTAAGAATTTGAGAAAAGATTGAGGATTCCTTATTCCAAAGGCAGTTAGGAAGACTGTGAAGGTTTTGGAGCAGGTTAAGGGTGCGTTTTAGAAAGATGATCCTGGCAGTTGATGGAGCTGATATTGGCAGTGTAAGTGACTAGAGAGGCGGTGACCCCTGAGTAAGCAATGTCAGTCCTTCAAGAAAAGGTAAGGAAGAACTGCACAGCTGCACCAACATAAAGTGGCAGGCAGGACAACTCCCGGAAGTGTCATGCGTGAGATGGCAGTCTTCACAGACAACATGGAGTGGTGGAAAGGCAGGTGAGGGACAATGGGAATATAATGATGGAAATGACCTGATCACCTTAAAACTGAAAAAAACAAAACAAAACAAAAAACTAATGTAATTTGAAGAAGCCAGAATAACTATATTAATAATACAGTATCTATTTTATTTATTTGGTGCCTGCAAATATTATTTGCAGAGCTACAGAAATAAGGCTTCCTATAGTTTTTTGGAAAAAGGAAACATACTGCATACCAAAGCACAGCAG